CTTTGTGACAATGTCCATTGTTAATTGAATTGAATTGAATTGAAGTTAGAAAGAAGTTCTCAGTTTGGCTGAACAGTTGTATTATTAACTCTTCAGCTGTTTGAGTGAGTGAATGACGCCTGGTCAATGGCGGTTTATTGAACCCTGCAGACTGACATCAGCACCACCTGCCGGCCGGAACAGGAACTGCTTAACAGCTGGCTAATGAAATACCTGCCGCAGAAAACCAGGGCTTCAGGAGTGCGGGGAGCGGAATGAACGTGTAAGGAAAGGAGAAAGCGGTAATCTCCCATGGACAGACGGATTTCTAGTACTGGGAGAACAAATTAAAAGTCATAAAACCTGTTTTATTAGTGAAGTGAAACGTGTTCAAGCTTCAAAAAGATCATATGGTAAACATCCCAACATTGTATTAGAAGCCCCGCCCCCTTCTAATACAATGTTGGGATGTTTACCATATTTGTCTGTCATATATGTTCTACCTTGTTGTTCTTTTAGGCTTAAACTATGCCTAAATATGTATCTTCATTAATCTTGGTCAGGATGCAAAGACATGTTATTTTGTTCGTTATAAACTGAAGTGAGATTTCACTCTAACAGTTGCAGTGACACTCAGTGGCTGTGTTTACATGCACATCAAATTCGGATTAAGCTCTATATTCGGGTTGCAGCCATATTCCGAATATGATGTTTATATATGCGTACAGGCATCAGAATATTCCTGTATATATAGCTGTTGTAAGGATGCCTGAGTTGCCATTCCTAAATCCCTAACCTACAGCCAAGCATCTATTAGCACCCACAATTCCATGCGGATTGCGCATGCGCGCATGTCTCCTCTCAGTGGAATTTCTGAACGAGTTAAGACAGGCATGTTACAGGGGTGGGAGTCACATTGAGTTACATGACTCAATACTGATCAGAATATTGCCAAATTCTGATTAATATCGGAATATTGATGTGCACGTGATATATAAACACATATGATGATTCATGGATGAAAGAGTCGACTCTTGTTGGAACTGAGCCAAATGATCCGACTCACTGAAAAGAGTCGGAAGTTAATTGGAGAAGAAACAGACAGACCATGGGTCGAAGTTCGGTCGAAAGAGGGAGTAGGAGAAGGAGCGCAAGTCTCTGTCTCTCATCGCTTTTAGGAAAATGACAGAAGCAGATTTATATGATGAGTATAAAGGGGTTTATGTGCCGAAAGATCTGCACCCCCCAGAGAGTCTGAAATATTATGAGGATTTCATTTTCCGATCAGACGACGTCCTTATCGTCACCTATCCCAAATCCGGTAGGGCAATTTCCTATTCCCAGATTTTTCCCATAATTTAGGATTTAATAATTGATGTAGTTTTTGGAGCAGTTTAAAAGAGGAAACGTGCTTTAATTCCATTACAGGATAGCTGCACTCACTGAACATAACAAATCTCACTGTAAAGTAACTGTACTAAGCTTCCAACCACTATCCTGATGCATGTTAATAATTTGTATGTGATGGTTAATAGAGGCATTAATCTGGGTGCAGAGGAGCTTAGATTTCAGACAGGAATGCAGAATGCAGAATGTAGCTTCAGGCATGCAGGGTGGAATGTTGAACCTGCCCAGGTGCCATAGCTTGCCATAGCTTGCCATAGCTTGCCATAACCTTAGGATGTCCTCTACAGCCCTTCACTGTTCATACGCTTGACATGAAATGAAAAAGATCCAGTTTTGAAGGACAGTACTAAATGAACTCGGAGCTCTTCTGCACCCAGCTGGACTTACATAAACATTAGTACAACACTGCGGCTTTTGCCAGATGTGCAGCATTAGTCTCATTTCCAACTGATCTGTGTCATTGGGGTATAATTGGTCTCAGGTTTAGAGACATGAGTTTTTTGTTCTCTGTAGGCACAACATGGATGCAGGAGATCGTTCCTCTGATCTGCAGTGAGGGAGATCTCACTCCGGTGCACACTATACCAAACTGGGACCGGGTTCCATGGCTGGAAGAGCACCGGGCCAAGATGCTCAATCTGGAGCAAAGGCGCTCTCCACGCGTCTTTGCGACGCACTTCCATTATGGCATGATGAACGAGTCCTATTTTAAAGTCAAGCCAAAAGTATTAGGATGCACTCTTTCAATTATGTTCTGACTAAAATGATTAGTTAGTGTGTAGCTACCTGGCCAGCAAAGCAAGTGTGTCCAGAAGCATTCGTATTCTGGCTTTCAGTACCTTATAATGTTACATTTACACATTTGGATTACAAACAAGTGCACTTCTGACTGGAATTTACATTTCCACAATTCCCAGTCCTGTTTTTAGAAATGAAATGTGCATCATATTTACCTATTTCTATTTCAAGACAAGAACGTTTTGTTAAAAAAAAAAGAAGTCTTTTCAAAAATAGAAAGTTCAAAAGTTATATCTACTTTGGCCTTACTGGGGTTTATAAGGTTATGAATTCTCAGTTAAAACCTTATACTTCCATGGTCCATGGTATACGCTTGGACCATGCTGGAACACAGCCTAGCAATCCATTTAGTAACAATATCCTAGCAGGCACGTTGGTCAATTTATAATTTAAGTAAACTGACAAATGGCAGCACTTCTCCAATTATTTTCCAGGTCATTTATGTAATGCGAAACCCTAAGGACGTGTTTACATCCTCCTTCCACTACTATGGAATGGCTTCATACCTGGTCAAACCAGGCACTGCTGATGAGTTCCTGGAAAAGTTTCTAAACGGCAAAAGTAAAACTATTATATCTTTCCACTTCACATTTCTAACTTGGCTTTTATGAGGCTGTTATGAATATAATAAAAAGGTAAAGGTAAAGTTTAAAATATAGGCTGTAATATGTTGCAAAATATGATATTACAGCTTATAAGAATGATTTTAATTATATGCAATAAGTGATTAAACAAGATGCCACATAATGAACATGTATTAACTCTTTGGATCACATACCTTCTCTGTTAGTTTCACTGTAATTAATGAACAATTCGTAGCAGTTACTAATGAATATGCTTTAAGACGAATAATTTAATTAATAAGCCAGATGATCATTGCTGTGTATTCGTACTGTATTTCATCAGTCTGTTGCCTCTTGTTTTTAATTTTTTGTCATTTCTATGATTTCTGTCCACAGTAATGTTTGGTTCATGGTTTGACCATGTGAAGGGCTGGCTCAAGGCAAAAGACCAAGATAACATTTTCTACATTGCATATGAGGAAATGATAGAAGTAAGCATTTGCTGCACATCTCATACTGCACATTATAGTTTTACAGCTTTGAACTGTATTATAACCTCCATTTAATTTCATAATAAGACTCTATGCATGCATATTTATTGTTACACAGTAAACACTGAGACGTACTCATAATCATAAATATATGCCGCAGGACTTGAAAGGCTCTGTCACGAAAATCACCCAGTTTCTTGAAAAGCCTCTGAGCCCAGAAGTGATTGAGAAAATAGCTGAGAATTGTGTGTTCAAGAGCATGAAGCAGAACAAGATGTCCAACTATTCTCTGGTTCCAGAAGAGTTCATGGATCAAAAGAAATCTGAGTTTCTCAGGAAAGGTAAATCAAAACACAGTTTGTATGTCGCTCTGGGTAAGAGCGTCTCCTAAATGACTAAATTTACATATAAACCTCCAACAGCAAAGTCTTCGAGGAGGCTTTGAGCTTGTGGTACGATATGTAAATGCCTCTATGTTTTGTGTTTTCCTTCAGGAATAGCTGGTGACTGGAAGAACCTTTTTACTGAGGCCCAAACCGAGAAATTTAATGCTTTTTACAAAGACAAGATGAAAGACGTCATGTTCAAATTTGTTTGGGATTGAACGAACTCATCATTAAGGAGAATGGAAGATGTGGGAGATGTGGGTGCAGTCTGTCATGATTAAGGGTGGAAAAATACAGGAAAAATTATGCTTAAGTGGAAGGAAGGGCATTATTTTTTTTAATTTAGTTCAAAACCGAATTAAAAGTAGCACTTCAAAATTATGCCTAAACGTAAAAAGTATACACAGTTTAAATCACTTTATGCATGTTTTAAAAGTACAAAATGATTTTATTCAAAACTAGAAGTCAGGATATAATTTTTTTCTGCAAAACTAATCACATGTTAGGGTTCGAGACGGGGTGACTATTCCAACTTTTGGACATTTTTCATGAGATGAGATTGTTATTCTTTTTTTTTTTTTTTTATTCATGACCATTTTTTATGAAAAAAGTAATGGCACAGTTACACTTATATGCTTACTTATAATTTTAGTTTCCATTTATGGTAGTGAAAAAGACTGTTTTTCTGCATATCTATTCATTGCATAGCTATGGAATTTCTGTGATGATTGATCTTTTTACTACAAAATATTAATAAACATGAAGTGTTAAACTTGTTTTTGTAACGAATAAAGGAACAAATAAAGAAAACAAGCATATCACATCTTCTTTACTCATTATTAATATCTTAACATACTATGGGGGCTCACATCCATATAACTATTCATCCATATTATTAAGTCTATTAATCTGAAGGGAAAAAATATAGTAACATTAAAACATACCTACATGTTAGTTTGCATTTATTTTTTCATTCCAACACCTTTTTGAACTGGCCACACTTATGCTAATTATCTTGTTCCCCTGAATTACTAAGTCATGGGCTTGAATTAGTTATCTTGTTTGGAGATCTTAATGATCTTATTAAGTTGTGGCCATGAATTATTTTTTATTAAAAAGGGATGTCAGTAACGGGTCTCAGTAAACACAACCTTTGACCACTTTTGTTGAATAGATGAAACCTATCACACAGTATGTTTTAAAGAAATTAATTAAATATAATAAATATAAAAGAAGAGTAGGCTAGCCTGTGTACATGCATGCCTTCCAGCAGTAGCAACAGTATCTTAAAATGATGACTTGTTATATCATAATTATGACTTCTTGTCTCATATAGTAACTCAAAATTGAGTTGTTATATCATTATATTTTTGGTCCCCGGAGGACTAGTGGTCAGGCCACAGCGCTCTCACCGCTGAGGACTGGGTTCGAACCCCTGCCACTGGGGTTGCACAAGACTGCACTTCCAGTGCCAGTGCCAGTCCCAGATAAAACTGGGGAGGATTCTGTCACGAAGGGCATCTGGTGTAAAAAATGTACCAAATCAAAATATGTGGACCAGTGAGCCGCTGTGGCGACCCCTAACGGGAGCAGCTGAAAGAAGAACATAACAACAACATATCGTTATGACTTTTTATCTCATAATTATGAAAAATTAGTCTGAAATTAGGACTTGTTATGTCATAATTATGACTTAAATTATCTCAAAATTATGATATCATACTTATGCCTTTTTATCTCATAATTATGAAATATTATTCTGAAATTATGACTTATGTCATAATTCTGACTTAAATTATCTCAAAATTATGATATCATACTTATGCCTTTTTATCTCATAATTATGAAATATTGTTCTGAAATTATGACTTGTTATGTCATGATTATGACTTAAAGTATCTCAAGATTATGAAATCATTCTTATGATTTTTTATCTCATAATTATGATATATTATTCTGAAATTATGAGGTGTTATGTCATAATTATGACTTAAAGTATCTCGAAATTGTGACGTCATACTTACGACTCAAAGTATCTCGAAATGATGACGTCATACGTGTATGACTGTTGACTTTATCTCATAATTATGACTTACTATTTTGGAATTATGAGATAGTATCTCACAATTCTGACTTGCTTTCTCATAATTTTGATATAGTATCCGGGATTTTTTTTTTTTTTTTAAAGTATCCATACACATCCAGCCAGGCCCCGTATTAAAAGTTCAGGCTACACCCCTGCTCAGGGAGACAGTACTGCACTCAGCTGTATCTCGCATTGCTTACATAGTGTACAGTAAACTGACTCCAATACTGTAGGGGGCAGCAGCGCGTGTCAGAGCTGCGCCATGTGCCTTTTCTCCTGCAGGATCAGTATGTGATATGTGCGGAGGATGCAGATGAGCTCGGTGCAGGCTGTGAGAGCAGCTTCAACGGAACAAAGCCGGCTGGAGGGTGAAGTTTAGCACACAGTGTTTTATTACAATGCTGGAAAACTGTCTGTTTGCGTTGATGTGCATGAGGAAGTGTTTATTTATTTACCTGAATACACACAGTCCAACTCCCCCAGCCAGAGATCTTCAGGATTTCAGTCTATTAATCCATCACACACTCCCTGAACAATGAGGACTGTCCCAGAGCCTGTTCACAGAAGTGAGAGAGAAAGTGCTGAGCTGCAGTTCACACTCACAGTAAGGGCTGTGATAACAGCAGTGATCAGAAGCATTAGGATACAGACGCTTGGCATCTTCCTCTTCACATGGACGTGTGACTTCTTACCATGCAACAACATCAGGTACACTACAGTACTGGTCCAGGACCAGAGCCTCCCTTATCCTGTTCAGTGTAGTCCTGTACAACATATCTACTGTATCTCATTCATTCATCTTAAGTAAACACTTTGTCCTGGTCAGAGTGGCCGTGAATCTGGAGTCTATCCTGGATACTGGGCGTGAGGCAGGAATACACCCTGGATGGGATTCCAGTTCGTCGTACAGCATCGTGACCATCTACACATACACACACTCATTCACACCTGGCACAATGTTAGCGTACGAATCCACCGCCTGGCGTGTTTTTTGGAGGTGTGAAAAAGACCAGAGAACCTGAAGGAAACCTACAGGGAGAACATGCAAAACTCATGCACTGACAGTAACCTGAAGTCAGGATCAAACCTGGGACTCTGGAGCTGTGAGGTGGGAACGCTACCCATTACACCATCATGCAGCCTCTACTGTAACTGATTACACATAATCCCGGTTTGTCAGGGGCTCCTCAGGAAACTCATTTGAAAGATGACATAGAAGCATGCTGTTCAAACTCTGTGTAACCATTACACACAGCAGTAAAGCTCTTTAAATTGTTAAAAATATCTCCAGAATTAATGAAGGCAAGTCAGTTTCTGGGTAATCTTCAACCACAAATATCGCACAGACAAAATACCTACTTTATTGTTAAAAAAAAATACATGAAATCCTCCAATAGCCATTGAAAAGAAAACACTAGTTACATATGGAGCTGTTGTTGTAGGAACACTTGAAGGAGTTATCCAGGTGAATCTCACCATCCCGGCCTCCACCTCCAAAATCAAATACACTAATGCGTATTAAACTCCAAATCCTGTTACTTTCAAGTCTATGCACTACCGTAAATACTTTTTTAGAATTCAAACAGACTTTTCTGTCCTCGCTGCCCAGCTATCCACAGATGTTTACGAGGTACTGAATACTGCACGTTAGAATATTGCTGGTCCTCTGTTATGTCGTACTTGATAGAAGAACCATCGCAATGATATAATTTTAGCTGTTGATTAAATGTACGCAGAACTGCACTTTCATTGGCTTTTCTGTTGATCTTAGGCCACAATTATGAGTCCTAATAGTGTAATAATTCACATTAGTGCTAATTAAGAGCAATTAATCAACATTAAATAAGTACAGTAAGTAAATGAAAATAAAAATCTGTTCATTATAATTAAATCTGATTTTAAAGGTATATATGACACATGTAATGACTGAAACACATAAAACTTTGGCTACTGAAGCCAAAAATGAGCCAATTATAACATATTATGGCAAAAAAAGATCACATCTTGTCAACGTTTATCATTAGGAGCTAGGTTATAACTCAGTATAACTAAATATTACTGTGTTACACATCGAAACGGTTTCAACTAGTTTATCTTTAAGCTTTTAGATAATAATATTTTGACATAGAATATGATTTAGTTATGATGATGCAGATTTTGATTATATCAAAGAACATCTTTATTCGCTGACATGTTCGGTTTGAATTCATGTTATTTATGTGAAAAGACGTGACTGTGTAATCTACCTGTTAATCATGATCAGCTATAATTATGATTTTAGCCTTGATGGCAGAACAGTAATGCCTTAAAGCAGGGGCTCTCAGCCAGGGAGCCCTTTAATTATAAAATAAATTCCATGGACCCCTCAGTATCGATTTATTAACATCCAACAATCCAATTTTTTAAAAACACAAACTAAATTATTTAAATATGTACAATAATACAGTGTGTCCCAAAAGTCTCCTTACTGTATATACGGTGACTGTGTAGCCAGCACCACGTCGGTTGTGCGTTCGTCAGTGGATGTTCGTGGACGTCCACGTCTCGGTTGGTCTGCAACACTTCCAGTCTTTTTGAATTTGTTAATAAGTTTGGCAACAGTTACATGTGTGTGATGTGCTTGCCATGTTTCCTGATAAAGTCTTTCGCAACCTTGTGACAGCTTCCAGATCCAGCCATGATAATGATTTCAATGTGTTCTTCTTTTGTCAAAGGCATTCTTAAAGGCTATCTGAAAAAAAAATATATATATAAACTAAGTATGAAATATTTTGGAAGACATTCAGTTAAAAAAGGTTAATTTCCTTTATGTATGGAGACTTTTGAGACACCCTGTATTTTGGCTATTTTTAGAAAGCTTTTTATTTCTTCACTTTCCACCGTCAGAAGACATTAGGTCCAATTTAACATTATTTATAGCCTTACTTGTTTTTTGAGTTATTGAGTTTTGTATTAAACCAGATCAATTCTAGTGATCACTCGAATAGGCCAATAAGTATAAGATGATAATATAATAATAATAATAAAATATATAATAAAAATCAATGATAAATATAATAGCTTTGATAATGGTGGTTGTGATTTTTACCATTGCAACAAAATAATAATAATACTAATAAAAAGCAGGCCCCTCCTGGTCATGCTTCACAGACTCCACTATGAGAAAACCTGGTTTAAGGCACACTAGTGACGGCTATTTTAGACATGAGTATTAGAGTATAGCTTTCATTTTACTGAAACAGAAAGTGCACTTCCTTGAAAAGGAGACCAATTCCATACAAACTGGAACTTAAATGGACCCAATTGGGATTATATGTCATGAATCTACACAAAACAATACTATTGCGTACATATTGCTTAAGTACTTCCAATGTTATGAAACCACTAAAGTAGTTCATGTGATCTCAGTAGAAATATACCTGAAACCTGGAAGACCCCAGAGTTTGTTAGGGAAAGAGTTTGTTACCTAAACAAACAGACCATGGAGTTATCAAAAAGGTCTGGAAAAGTATCAAGCAGGGATCGGTTATAAAAATAAAATAGCCCAATCTCTTAACATCCCACACAGCACCATTTAATACATTATTAAAACATGGAAAGAATATGGCACAGTCGTAATTCTAGAGGAGGCATCTGCCAAAAGTCAGTGACTGGGTCAGGAGGGCGTTAGTCAGAGGAGTAACCAAGAGGCCAAGGGTGACTCTGAGGGAAGTGTAATGCTACAAAATGTGAAACAGTTCAGAGGGTATGTATTCTTATGTAAAGCACTGTATCAGTAGTTTACGTAACTAGGGAAGCAGTGACGGAATGGTGCAGGTTTAATGTGCCACACCAGGTTTGACAGGATTGTATTTTAGGAAGTGGGAGTGTTCAGCTGTAGCTGTTGAGTAACCCGACTCTGAGGAGGCTCGGTCATGTGACTTCCCCGGCAGCACAGAGCGATTAGATCAGCTGAGAGCCAGAGCAGGAAAATGAAACTTAAAGCCCAATCTGCTTTTCTACACCCTCTGTGCATCCTGCTTGCTAACATGCTCACATCTATGCTTTTGAATAGAAAACCAGCAAAATCGAACAAAAATGGCTTTTTTTTAATTGACTGATATTTTAGGGTTTTGATGTGCATTCTTCATTTCTCTGAAAATGAAAGTTAAGGGCCAGCTGCTATTGGACGTTGCTTTCTGTTTCCTATTACCATGATGCACAAGAAACTTCTTATTGGCTGTCTGCGTGCATGACTGTGTATGTGCTTGCTGACGAAGGTGGAGTGCTATAAAACAACAACAGGCATATTTATCCTCAGTTGTTAGGCTTCGACTTATCACAGTGACTGCTTTCCTATGGTAAGACTGATGTTATATTTC